CCACACGAGGAGTGTCACGCCGCGTTGGGTTCGTAACAAAATTACGAATCGATTGGCATTCAAAACTGGATAATTTAGTTTTTGACAATTTTTGGCAAAAAAAAAACGTGACGTAACCCCTTATAAAAAATCCCAAAAATGACCATTAATGTATGTCTCCTAAATGTACCCGTAAATGAAGAGGATCGTTAGCTCAGCTTGTTAGCCAGTCAAAACAGTCGTTCTTTTAGCTGAGACCCTCAAGTGGGCATAGCAGCGACAAAAAAATCAATGAAATATTTATGTTTTTGCCATTAGCTAAGAATCCTAATTTTGCACCAAATAATATCAGTATTTTGTCCGAAACAACGCAACAAATAGTCCAAACGAAGAGTGTCACGCCGCGTTGGGCTCGTAACAAAATTACGAATCTATTGGCATTCAAAACTGGATAATTTAATTTTTGAAAATTTTTGGCCAAAAAAAAAAACGTGATGTAACCCATTATAAAAAATCCCAAAAATGGCCATTAATGTATGTCTCCTAAATGTACCCGAAAAGCTTGTTGTTGAAACAGTTGAAACAGATATTCTTTTAGCTGATACCCTCAAAAAAATCACCGAAATATTTATGTTTTAGCCATTAGCTAGGAATCCTATTTTCCACCAAATAATATCAGTATTTTGTCCGAAACAACGCAACAAATAGTCCACACGAGGAGTGTCAAGCCGAGTTGAGTTCGTAGCAAAATTTCGAATCGATTGGCATTCAAAACTGGATAATTTAGTGTTCGACAATTTTTGTCAAAAAATAAGTGATGTAACCCCTTTATAAATAATCCCAAAAATGCCCATTAATGTATGTCTCCTAAATGTACCCGAAAATTAAGTGGATCGTTTGCAGCGACAAAAAAATCACCGAAATATTTATGTTTTTGTCATTAGCTAAGAATCTCAATTTTCCACCAAATTATATGAGTATTTTGTCCGAAACAGCGCAACAAATAGTCCAAAAAAGGAGTGTCAAGCCGCGTTGAGTTCGTAACCAAATTTCGAATCGATTGGCGTTCAAAACTGGATAATTTAGTTTTTGACAATTTTTGGCCAAAAAAAAACGTAATGTAACCCCTTATAAATAATCCCAAAAACGCACATTAATGTATGTCTCCTAAATGTACCCGAAAATGAAGTGGATCGTTAGCTCACGTTGTTAGTCAGTCAAAACAGTTATTCTTTTAGCTGAGACCCTGAATAAGGAGTAGCAGCGACAAAAATATCACCGAAATATTTATGTTTTTGCCATTAGCTAAGAATGCTAATTTTGCACCAAATAATATCAGTATTTTGTCCGAAACAACGCAACAAATAGTCCAAAAGACGAGTGTCACGCCGCGTTGTATTCGTTACCAAAATTCGAACCGATTGGCATTCAAAACTGGATAATTTAGTATTTGACAATTTTTTCCAAAAAAAACGTGATGTAACCCCTTATAAAAAATGCCAAAAATGCCAAAAATGCACATTTATGTACCCGTAAATGAAGTGGGTCGTTAGCTCACGTTGTTAGCCAGTCAAAACCGTCATTCTTTTAGCTGAGACCCTAAATAAGGCGTAGCAGCGACAAAAAAATCACCAAAATATTTATGTTTTTGCCAATAGCTAAGAATCCTAATTTTGCACCAAATAATATCAGTATTTTGTCCAAAACAACGCAACAAATAGTCCACACGAGGAGTGTCACGCCGCGTTGGGTTCGTAACAAAATTACGAATCGATTGGCATTCAAAACTGGATAATTTAGTTTTTGACAATTTTTGGCAAAAAAAAAACGTGACGTAACCCCTTATAAAAAATCCCAAAAATGACCATTAATGTATGTCTCCTAAATGTACCCGTAAATGAAGAGGATCGTTAGCTCAGCTTGTTAGCCAGTCAAAACAGTCGTTCTTTTAGTTGAGACCCTCAAGTGGGCATAGCAGCGACAAAAAAATCAATGAAATATTTATGTTTTTGCCATTAGCTAAGAATCCTAATTTTGCACCAAATAATATCAGTATTTTGTCCAAAACAACGCAACAAATAGTCCACACGAGGAGTGTCACGCCGCGTTGAGTTCGTACCAAAATTTCGAATCGATTGGCATTAAAAACTGAATAATTTAGATTTCGACAATTTTTTCAAAAAATATTTTGTCCGAAACAACGCAACAAATAGTCCAAACAAGGAGTGTCAAGCCGCGTTGAGTTCGTAACCAAATTTCGAATCGATTGGCGTTCAAAACTGGATAATTTAGTTTTTGACAATATTTGGCCAAAAAAAACGTAATGTAACCCCTTATAAATAATCCCAAAAATGCCCATTAGTGTATGTCTCCTAAATGTACCCGAAAATTAAGTGGATCGTTAGCAGCGACAAAAAAATCACCGAAATATTTATGTTTTCGTCATTAGCTAAGAATCCTAATTTTCCACCAAATTATATCAGTATTTTGTCCGAAACAACGCAACAAATAGTCCAAACAAGGAGTGTCAAGCCGCGTTGAGTTCGTAACCAAATTTCGAATCGATTGGCGTTCAAAACTGGATAATTTAGTTTTTGACAATTTTTGGCCAAAAAAACGTTATAAATAATCCCAAAAATGCCCAATAATGTACGTCTCCTAAAATTACACGAAAATGAAGTGGATCGTTAGCTCAGGTTGTTATCCAGTTAAAACAGATATTCTTTTAGCTGATACCCTCAATTGGGCGTAGCAGCTACAAAAAAATCACCGAAATATTTGTTTTTGTCATTAGCTAAGAATGCTAATTTTGCACCAAATAATATCAGTATTTTGTCCAAAACAACGCAACAAATAGTCCACACGAGGAGTGTCACGCCGCGTTGGGTTCGTAACAAAATTACGAATCGATTGGCATTCAAAACTGGATAATTTAGATTTCGACAATTTTTAGCAAAAAATTAACGTGATGTCACCCCTTAAAAAAATGAAAAAATTGTCCAAAAATGTATGTCTCCTAAAATTACCCGAAAATGAAGTCGATCATTAGCTCAGTTTGTTAGCTAGTTAAAACAGATATTCTTTTAGCTGATACCCTCAATTGGGCGTAGCAGCTACAAAAAAATCACCGAAATATTTATGTTTTTGCCATTAGCTAAGAACCCAAATTTTGCACCAAATAATATCAGAATTTTGTACGAAACAACGCAACAAATAGTCCAAAAGACGAGTGTCACGCCGCGTTGTATTCGTTACCAAAATTCGAACCGATTGGCATTCAAAACTGGATAATTTAGTTTCTGAAAATTTTTGGCCAAAAAAAAACGTGATGTAACCCCTCATAAGTAATCCAAAAAAAGGCCCATTAAGGTATGTCTCCTAAATGTACCCGAAACTTAAGTGGATCGTTAGCAGCGACAAAAAAATCACCGAAATATTTATGTTTTTGCCATTAGCTAAGAATCCTAATTTTCCACCAAATTATATCAGTATTTTGTCCGAAACAACGCAACAAATAGTCCAAACGAGGAGTGTCAAGCCGCGTTGAGTTCGTAACCAAATTTCGAATCGATTGGCGTTCAAAACTGGATAATTTAGTTTTTGACAATTTTTGGCCAAAAAAACGTTATAAATAATCCCAAAAATGCCCAATAATGTACGTCTCCTAAAATTACACGAAAATGAAGTGGATCGTTAGCTCAGGTTGTTATCCAGTTAAAACAGATATTCTTTTAGCTGATACCCTCAATTGGGCGTAGCAGCTACAAAAAAATCACCGAAATCTTTATGTTTTTGCCATTAGCTAAGAACCCAAATTTTGCACCAAATAATATCAGAATTTTGTACGAAACAACGCAACAAATACTCCAAACGACGAGTGTCACGCCGCGTTGAGTTCGTAGCAAAATTTCGAATCGATTGGCATTCAAAACTGAATAATTTAGATTTCGACAATTTTTAGCAAAAAATTAACGTGATGTCACCCCTTAAAAAAATGAAAAAATTGTCCAAAAATGTATGTCTCCTAAAATTACCCGAAAATGAAGTCGATCATTAGCTCAGTTTGTTAGCTAGTTAAAACAGATATTCTTTTAGCTGATACCCTCAATTGGGCGTAGCAGCAACCAAAATATCACCGAAATATTTATGTTTTTGCCATTAGCTAAGAATGCTAATTTTGCACCAAATAATATCAGTATTTTGTCCGAAACAACGCAACAAATAGTCCAAAAGACGAGTGTCACGCCGCGTTGTATTCGTTACCAAAATTCGAACCGATTGGCATTCAAAACTGGATAATTTAGTTTCTGAAAATTTTTGGCCAAAAAAAAACGTGATGTAACCCCTCATAAGTAATCCAAAAAAAGGCCCATTAAGGTATGTCTCCTAAATGTACCCGAAACTTAAGTGGATCGTTAGCAGCGACAAAAAAATCACCGAAATATTTATGTTTTTGCCATTAGCTAAGAATCCTAATTTTCCACCAAATTATATCAGTATTTTGTCCGAAACAACGCAACAAATAGTCCAAACGAGGAGTGTCAAGCCGCGTTGAGTTCGTAACCAAATTTCGAATCGATTGGCATGCAAAACTGGATAACTTAGTTTTTGACAATTTTTGGCAAAAAAAAAACGTGATGTAACCCCTCATAAGTAATCCAAAAAAAGGCCCATTAAGGTATGTCTCCTAAATGTACCCGAAACTTAAGTGGATCGTTAGCAGCGACAAAAAAATCACCGAAATATTTATGTTTTTGCCATTAGCTAAGAATCCTAATTTTCCACCAAATTATATCAGTATTTTGTCCGAAACAACGCAACAAATACTCCAAACGAGGAGTGTCACGCCGCGTTGTGTTCGTAACAAAATTTCGAATCGATTGACATTCAAAACTAAAAAATGCAGTTTTTGACAATTTAAGGCAAAAGAAAATTAAACGTGTTGTTACCCCTTATTAAAAATGCAAACAATGCCCGTTAAAAAGAAAAATGAAAAATATGGACGTCTTAAATTTACCTGAAAGTGATATGGATCGTCAGTTTCGGTTGTAAGTCGGTCAAGGCATCCCATCTTTGAGCCAAGGCGCTATTTAAATTATCTACGACGAAAAAAGTTGAGAAAAACTATTGCTTTAACAAAGGGCCCTAATAAAGAAAAACAACAAACACTATTGTTTTACACTTGTTATTTGTCAATGAAAATATGTTTTTGTTTTAAACCCGCTGCGAAAGACCCAGCATGAGAATTGTTTGTAATTATCTGTAGCTTAACTTGATAGTTGGTTATTTTAGGCCATTGGGTGGCAGATAGACAGCTGGATACGAATTTGGTAAAAAAAATATTTATTTTTACATGAAACCATGTTGGTTTGGTGGGGGCTATAATAATAATACACAAGCACATATATATATATATATAAGTATATTGCGACACTCTTTTATATTGTCAACACTAAAAAAAAAACATAAGAACTCTTTCATTTGAAAAAAATTGCTGTATTCATTTTCCTATCCTTTTTGTGATTGGGTTTTGTAAATAAGATGTAATTAAAGCCGGTGTGACCGGCCAAATGTATATGGATGTTTGTGTATTTATATGTATTTAAAAAAGAATTACAAGATTGCCTGTTTTATTTGAAGTTTACAGGTACACTTCTCTTCTTTTTGGGTCACTTAGTTTTTAATTGTTTTTAATTGCAAACTATTTGGTTGTGTGCCTGTGAGGCGTATGTATGTGCTTATTTATTAAAACACTTATTGTTTGTACGTTTGTTTCATTTGTTTGTGTGTTGATTTGTAGTTTTAAACTGTTTTTGTTTTTTTTTCACTTAAATATAAATGCATTTTTATTTGTTGTGCACTCACCGGAGTTAATTTTAGTCCTTGTGTGTGTTGGTGTTGTAATCCTTTTGTGTTTCGTTGAGCTGGAAATAAATACATATACATATATAAGAAATTAGATATAATTACAATAAGTTGTACATGTTACGTGTTGTATGTAAAAACAAAACTGGCCAACTTACCTTTTAGTATAAATTATTCGTCCGCTACGTTCGTCTTCATCAAGCAGTCCGCTTCTAATGAGCTCTGCTCAAGCAGAGTTCGGTCAATAAGAGAATTAGAGAGCGAAAAAAAAGATGGCCGCGTCGCCCTTACGGAATGCTTCCAATGCACTGTGCCAAAAATAACAAGAATGAGTTTTGTACATAAATATTTTTAGCATATATATATATATAATTTAATAATTTATTAATAATGAAATACGAATAGTACAAAATAATATATAACATATTTAGAAATAAGAAAGTTGAAAACAATGAGAAGTAAATAGGTAATAAGTAATAAATATTATTGTATTGTACATGACAATTTATTAATTATTAATTTGTAATAAAAAGAGGATTATTAGTAAATGCATGGTATTTAAGCAGTATTTCTTCGACTTACATTACGTTTTTATTTTCTTTAAATTAAACATTCCCCTTTTTTCGCCAAGTGAGCGAACCGTTCGCTTTTGCTGATACAGAGAGGCGAGAGAGAGAGAGAGGAAGGAGTGAGCATTTTCAATTCAGAGAGTGGAGTGAACACAGAGAGGGGAAAAATACGTTACACTTTCGTTCAATACTCCGCATTAATATATATGTACAATGTACATATGTAAAGCAGCTGAACAACGCCCCGCAAAAAGATGAGTGAAGAGAATAATGAAGAGAAAAATACTTTACATTTTTGTTGAATACTGCGTACATATAAAAGGTAGCTGAAAAATGAACCGCAAAAAGAATAGACAAGAAAAAGAAAAGTAATGGTATTTGATTCTCTGGCCACGCCTTCGTGGTGTGTGGGTGTGTGTGTGTGTCTTTGCACGCTAGGTCTAATTTGGTGGTTGTTTGTTGGTCTTTGCTTACGTTTCATATGTACATATGTATTGCGCCGAATATTTATGTGACATTATAATGATAGAAACGTACATACATACATGTATAACTATATGGGCTAAATGAGCTAAATGGCGTTTGCATTTGGTAATGGGTTTATAGGTAATTTTTTTGGTTTTTATCGCTGGATTTTAACTTGGCCTACTTATCACTTATTAAATACATTTTGTGTGCTTGCATACATATATTTAATTTTTTTGTGTTCACTTGTTTTTGTTTAGTTTGCGGCAACATAGTTACACCCATTCTATTTCAAAGAAAAAATGTCAGTAATATAATCTCCTAAAGGGAGCAGTGCCTAATGTAAAGCAGAGTGACAGAGAAGGAAATATTTGTTTAAGATTAGTAGTATTCGAAAAAAAGACAATATTTAAACACATTATTTTAACTTACAAATTGTACCAAAATATTTAGGTCTCCTAATTGAACCGGAAAATTATGTCGGTCGTTTGCTAATGTTGTTAGCTAGTCAAAACAGACATTATTTTAACTGCATACCTTAATTAGTACAAGAACAATAAAAAAAAAAACCGAAAAATTCCTGTTTTTGCCTTTAGTTATGATTTCTAATTTTGCACCAAATATCAGTATTTTTCCGAAGCAATGCAAGAAATGATCCAAATAACCTGAAAACTTTAGTTTTTGGCACAAAAAACGTTATGAAATGAACGTGATAACTGAACAAATTTTACAAAAATTTAAGTTTCCTAAAGGTTCCCGAAAATGAAGTGGATCGTTAACTCAGCTTGTTAGCCAGTTGAAACAGATATTCTTTTAGCTGAGACCGTCAATTGGGCGTAGCAGCGACAAAAAAATCCCCGAAATATTTATGTTTTAGCCATTAGCTAAGAATCCTAATTTTCCACCAAATAATATCAGTATTTTGTCCTAAACAACGCAACAATTTATCCAAACGAGGAGTGTCACGCCGCGTCGAGTTCGTAACAAAATTTCGAATCGATTGACATTCAAAACTAAAAAATGCAATTTTTGACAATTTAAGGCAAAAGAAAATTAAACGTGTTGTTACCCCTTATTAAAAATGCAAACAATGCCCGTTAATGTTAAGCGCATGAGAAAAATGAAAAATATGGACGTCTTAAATTTACCTGAAAGTGATATGGATCGTCAGTTTCGGTTGTAAGTCGGTCAAGGCATCCCATCTTTGAGCCAAGGCGCAATTTAAATTAATTACGACGAAAAAAGTTGAGAAAAACTATTGCACATATATATATATATATAAGTATATTGCGACACTCTTTTATATTGTCAACACTAAAAAAAAAACATAAGAACTGTTTCATTTGAAAAAAATTGCTGTATTCATTTTCCTATCCTTTTTGTGATTGGGTTTTGTAAATAAGATGTAATTAAAGCCGGTGTGACCGGCCAAATGTATATGGATGTTTGTGTATTTATATGTATTTAAAAAAGAATTACAAGATTGCCTGTTTTATTTGAAGTTTACAGGTACACTTCTCTTCTTTTTGGGTCACTTAGTTTTTAATTGTTTTTAATTGCAAACTATTTGATTGTGTGCCTGTGAGGCGTATGTATGTGCTTATTTATTAAAACACTTATTGTTTGTACGTTTGTTTCATTTGTTTGTGTGTTGATTTGTAGTTTTAAACTGTTTTTGTTTTTTTTTTTCACTTAAATATAAATGCATTTTTATTTGTTGTGCACTCACCGGAGTTAATTTTAGTCCTTGTGTGTGTTGGTGTTGTAATCCTTTTGTGTTTCGTTGAGCTGGAAATAAATACATATACATATATAAGATATTAGATATAATTACAACAAGTTGTACATGTTACGTGTTGTATGTAAAAACAAAACTGGCCAACTTACCTTTTAGTATAAATTATTCGTCCGCTACGTTCGTCTTCATCAAGCAGTCCGCTTCTAATGAGCTCTGCTCAAGCAGAGTTCGGTCAATAAGAGAATTAGAGAGCGAAAAAAAAGATGGCCGCGTCGCCCTTACGGAATGCTTCCAATGCACTGTGCCAAAAATAACAAGAATGAGTTTTGTACATAAATATTTTTAGCATATATATATATATAATTTAATAATTTATTAATAATGAAATACGAATAGTATAGTATATAGTATATTTAGAAATAAGAAAGTTGAAAACAATGAGAAGTAAATAGGTAATAAGTAATAAATATTATTGTATTGTACATGACAATTTATTAATTATTAATTTGTAATAAAAAGAGGATTATTAGTAAATGCGTGGTATTTAAGCAGTATTTCTTCGAATTACATTACGTTTTTATTTTCTTTAAATTAAACATTCCCCTTTTTTCGCCAAGTGAGCGAACCGTTCGCTTTTGCTGATACAGAGAGGCGAGAGAGAGAGAGGAAGGAGTGAGCATTTTCAATTCAGAGAGTGGAGTGAACACAGAGAGGGGAAAAATACGTTACACTTTCGTTCAATACTCCGCATTAATATATATGTACAATGTACATATGTAAAGCAGCTGAACAACGCCCCGCAAAAAGATGAGTGAAGAGAATAATGAAGAGAAAAATACTTTACATTTTTGTTGAATACTGCGTACATATAAAAGGTAGCTGAAAAATGAACCGCAAAAAGAATAGACAAGAAAAAGAAAAGTAATGGTATTTGATTCTCTGGCCACGCCTTCGTGGTGTGTGGGTGTGTGTGTGTGTCTTTGCACGCTAGGTCTAATTTGGTGGTTGTTTGTTGGTCTTTGCTTACGTTTCATATGTACATATGTATTGCGCCGAATATTTATGTGACATTATAATGATAGAAACGTACATACATACATGTATAACTATATGGGCTAAATGAGCTAAATGGCGTTTGCATTTGGTAATGGGTTTATAGGTAATTTTTTTGGTTTTTATCGCTGGATTTTAACTTGGCCTACTTATCACTTATTAAATACATTTTGTGTGCTTGCATACATATATTTAATTTTTTTGTGTTCACTTGTTTTTGTTTAGTTTGCGGCAACATACATAGTTACACCCATTCTATTTCAAAGAAAAAATGTCAGTAATATAATCTCCTAAAGGGAGCAGTGCCTAATGTAAAGCAGAGTGACAGAGAAGGAAATATTTGTTTAAGATTAGTAGTATTCGAAAAAAAGACAATATTTAAACACATTATTTTAACTTACAAATTGTACCAAAATATTTAGGTCTCCTAATTGAACCGGAAAATTATGTCGGTCGTTTGCTAATGTTGTTAGCTAGTCAAAACAGACATTATTTTAACTGCATACCTTAATTAGTACAAGAACAATAAAAAAAAAACCGAAAAATTCCTGTTTTTGCCTTTAGTTATGATTTCTAATTTTGCACCAAATATCAGTATTTTTCCGAAGCAACGCAAGAAATGATCCAAATAACCTGAAAACTTTAGTTTTTGGCACAAAAAACGTTATGAAATGAACGTGATAACTGAACAAATTTTACAAAAATTTAAGTTTCCTAAAGGTTCCCGAAAATGAAGTGGATCGTTAACTCAGCTTGTTAGCCAGTTGAAACAGATATTCTTTTAGCTGAGACCGTCAATTGGGCGTAGCAGCGACAAAAAAATCCCCGAAATATTTATGTTTTAGCCATTAGCTAAGAATCCTAATTTTCCACCAAATAATATCAGTATTTTGTCCTAAACAACGCAACAATTTATCCAAACGAGGAGTGTCACGCCGCGTCGAGTTCGTAACAAAATTTCGAATCGATTGACATTCAAAACTAAAAAATGCAATTTTTGACAATTTAAGGCAAAAGAAAATTAAACGTGTTGTTACCCCTTATTAAAAATGCAAACAATGCCCGTTAATGTTAAGCGCATGAGAAAAATGAAAAATATGGACGTCTTAAATTTACCTGAAAGTGATATGGATCGTCAGTTTCGGTTGTAAGTCGGTCAAGGCATCCCATCTTTGAGCCAAGGCGCAATTTAAATTAATTACGACGAAAAAAGTTGAGAAAAACTATTGCACATATATATATATATATAAGTATATTGCGACACTCTTTTATATTGTCAACACTAAAAAAAAAACATAAGAACTGTTTCATTTGAAAAAAATTGCTGTATTCATTTTCCTATCCTTTTTGTGATTGGGTTTTGTAAATAAGATGTAATTAAAGCCGGTGTGACCGGCCAAATGTATATGGATGTTTGTGTATTTATATGTATTTAAAAAAGAATTACAAGATTGCCTGTTTTATTTGAAGTTTACAGGTACACTTCTCTTCTTTTTGGGTCACTTAGTTTTTAATTGTTTTTAATTGCAAACTATTTGATTGTGTGCCTGTGAGGCGTATGTATGTGCTTATTTATTAAAACACTTATTGTTTGTACGTTTGTTTCATTTGTTTGTGTGTTGATTTGTAGTTTTAAACTGTTTTTGTTTTTTTTTTTCACTTAAATATAAATGCATTTTTATTTGTTGTGCACTCACCGGAGTTAATTTTAGTCCTTGTGTGTGTTGGTGTTGTAATCCTTTTGTGTTTCGTTGAGCTGGAAATAAATACATATACATATATAAGATATTAGATATAATTACAACAAGTTGTACATGTTACGTGTTGTATGTAAAAACAAAACTGGCCAACTTACCTTTTAGTATAAATTATTCGTCCGCTACGTTCGTCTTCATCAAGCAGTCCGCTTCTAATGAGCTCTGCTCAAGCAGAGTTCGGTCAATAAGAGAATTAGAGAGCGAAAAAAAAGATGGCCGCGTCGCCCTTACGGAATGCTTCCAATGCACTGTGCCAAAAATAACAAGAATGAGTTTTGTACATAAATATTTTTAGCATATATATATATATAATTTAATAATTTATTAATAATGAAATACGAATAGTACAAAATAATATATAACATATTTAGAAATAAGAAAGTTGAAAACAATGAGAAGTAAATAGGTAATAAGTAATAAATATTATTGTATTGTACATGACAATTTATTAATTATTAATTTGTAATAAAAAGAGGATTATTAGTAAATGCGTGGTATTTAAGCAGTATTTCTTCGAATTACATTACGTTTTTATTTTCTTTAAATTAAACATTCCCCTTTTTTCGCCAAGTGAGCGAACCGTTCGCTTTTGCTGATACAGAGAGGCGAGAGAGAGAGAGGAAGGAGTGAGCATTTTCAATTCAGAGAGTGGAGTGAACACAGAGAGGGGAAAAATACGTTACACTTTCGTTCAATACTCCGCATTAATATATATGTACAATGTACATATGTAAAGCAGCTGAACAACGCCCCGCAAAAAGATGAGTGAAGAGAATATGGGGAAAATACGTTACATTTTCGTTAAATACTGCGTACACATAAAGGGCAGCTGAATAACGGACCGCAAAAGGAATGGACAAGAAAAAAAGGAAAGTAATGGTACTGATGCGCGGAAAAGCAGTTAACTTGTCTGAATGGCGCCAATTATTTTAGTCTTCTTTTGTCCGAGGCAACTCATCAAATGGTCCAAATGAGGAGCGTCATACCGCGTTGAGCTCGTAATTAAATTTTTACCCGATTGGCATTCAACCCTAAAAAAATTAGCCCTTCATGAAAAAAGCAATAATCGTCAAATTATTTAAGTCTCCTAAATCTACCCACAAATGAGTTGGATCGTAAGCTGAGGTTATTAGCTGGTCAAAACAGTCATTCTTTTAGCTAAGACCCAATTAAGACCACTTACGAACGGAAAATTTCCTGTTCTTTCCATAAGTTATAAATTCAAATTTTGCACTAAAAATAATAGCTGAGGTTGTTTGCTGGTAAAAATAGTCATTCTTTTAGTTTGTAGTTGTATAGTAGAAGCTGTAGCTAAACTTGATAGCTGGTTATTGTACTCCATAATTATTTATTGTGTTAATTTTTAGTTTTAGACCATTTGTTTTTTATGAACTTTTACATATTTGTCCACTCACCTGATTTTAATGTAAATCCTTGTGTGTTAATTCGTGTTTGCTTTGGTCAGCTATAAAGAAATAGATTTAATAAATTAAATATTAGTACATATAACTAGAATAAAAAAGTTAAGCATGCTGAATGCTATATGTAAAAATATTGGCTAACTTACATTTATGAACAAATCGCTCGTCCACGACGTCCGTTCTCTTTAAGAAGTCCCGCTTCGACTGAGCACTGCTCACACAGTTTGGTCAATAAGAGAATAAGAGAGAGAGAGAGTGAAAGAGAGAGAGAGAGAGAGAGCGAACATTGAATGCTCATAAATCCACTGTGCCCAAAAATACCTTTTATAAATGTTGTATTATATTTGATTGATTATTGCTTTTGCGTAGATATATATATATATAAACATATATTTAATAAATAATGATTAATGATGGAAGCCAGTGAACATTGAATGCTTCCAAATGCTTGCATGAATGTTGTAGTATATTTTATTGATTATTGCTTTTGCGTAGATATATATATATGTATATATAAACATATATTTAATAAATGGTAATAAATAATGAGTAATGATGGCCGCCAGTGAACAGTGAATGCTTCCAAATGCACTGTGCCCAAAAATAACTTGTATTAGTGTTGTTTTATATTTTATTGATTATTGCTTTTACGCAGATATATATATATATAAACATATATTTAATAAATAGGTAATAAATAATGATTGATTCATTATTGAAAAACAAAGAGAACAAACTAATACCAAGTTAATAATAAATAATTTTGTATGAATGAAAAAAAAAGAATATTTAATATTAATACAGGGGAAAAATTGTGGAAAACGCATGGCATATAAACATAATGTATTTCTTAGATGTGGATTATTTTATTTTCTTTAAATTAATCATTCCCTATTATTCTCCAAGTGACCGAGCTGTCCGCTTCGACCGCGAGAGTGGAGTGAGAAATTTAAAGTCTGAGAGGTTGAAGTGGGCACACAGAGAGAAAGGAAAAACACGATCCATTTTCGTTGAATACTTCGCATTATTAATAATTAAAATTAATGGTACAAAAATATCAATTAAATCATTTTCTATTGTACATAAATAATAATTAATAGATAATTATATATATAATAAAATAATTAGAATTTCATGGTATTTAAAAAAGGTATTTCTTCGAGTTGCATTATTACATTTTCATTTAATTTAATTTAACAATACCATTTTTTCTTCAAGTGAGCATTCAGTTCGCTTCCACAGACGCAGAGGGAGAGAGAAATAGGAATTTAAAGTCAAAGAGTGAAACGAACACAAAGTTAGGGAAAAGAACGTTACATTTTACGTTGATACTGCACATTAAAAGAATGGATAAGGCAAAGAAAACAATTAACACAGATGCGCAAAAAAACATAGGCATCTTGTTTGAATGTCGCCAAAAATGGTTGCGGTTAATTTTGGTTGTGTATGTGTATGTGCGTGCCGTCGTGGTGTGTGTGCCTTTGTGAGCTGTCTAATTTGGTGGTGGTTTTTGGATTACGTTTTGTTGCTAGTGGGGGTTCAGATTTTAAAATGCCGCAAATCAAAGGCCAGAAAACCTATCCAAACGACCCGTTATGATTGTTGTGTGTGTATGAATGTATTGTATGGAATATGAATGCGATGAAATAATTATAGGAACGTATGTATGTATGAACGTAACTAAATGGGCGGAATTTCGTTTGCATTTGCTGGGGAATATTTGTATTTGTGATTTGTCTTTGGCTGAAATTTAATTTCACTTGAAGATATGTACATATGTACGTACATATATTTTTGCAACGCGTAGCGGAAGTTTATTGTATGTAAGAACTTGGCCGTTTGTCTATACTCCTGGTGCGTTTCGTCACTACGTGGATTGCCGTCCACAGTGATTACTGAATTTCTTAAATCTACCTGAAACGATCCACATCTCGTTAGCTTAGGTCGTAAGCTGGTCAATGCATTTAATATTTGTGCCGAGACACTATTTAAATTAATTACGACTAAAAAACAGTCATTAATTTTAGTATTTGACGATTTTTGACTAGAAAAACGTAATATGAAAAAGTTTATAATTGGCCAATTATTTATGTCCCCTAATCTACCACAAATTGACCTGGATCGTTAGCTGAGGTTGTAAGCTGGTAAAAACAGTTATTATCTTAGCTGAGACTCAATTTAGCCAACTTACGACAAAAAGTATCAACGGAAATATTCCTGTTCTTGCCATAAGTTATGAATCCAATTTTTTCACCAAATAATATCAGTACTTTGTCCGAGGCAACTTAACAAATGGTCCAAATGAGGAGCGTAATACCGCTTTGAGTTCGTAATAAAATTTTCAATCGGTTGGCATTCAACTCTGAAAACGTTAATTTTATTCCATTTTTAGCAAAGAAAAAAACGTTACCCCTTTTTCTAGCATCAAAACTGTAGTAGCCACAGTTTTGGGCGGTTTGTGGGCGTTAGAGTGGGTGTGGCACTCTGCTGAAATAAACTTGCGCTGCGTAAGAAGCTCAGGTATCTGCACGCCAAATCTCAATAGCCTAGCTCTTATAGTTTCCGAGATCTCAGCGTTCATCCGGACAGACAGACATGGCTAGATCGACTCGGCTAGTGATCCTGATCAAGAATATATATACTTTATGGGGGTCGAAAACGCTTCCTTCTGCCTGTTACATACTTTCCGACGAATCTAGTATACCCTTTTACTCTACGAGTAACGGGTATAACAATGCAAAACTAAGTACAATTTGAACGCTAAAATGTGGAACGTTTTCAGCGCCAAGTGATTATTTGATTGCTATTAGCAAATTGATCAAGGATGAGATTTCCATTCAGGCAAGGGTAGTGAAATGAATAGGGACTGTTGCGGGCCAACAGTGACGCCACGAGAATTTTCACAAGCTAGTATTGTTTTGGCCCTTTTAAGTATTTATAACAACTTCCTCGCATACTGTTCTTTGACTATATCAATTCTTAAGCAATTACTTTGGAAGGTGGATGCGCCCTCAAATGGCTTTTTCTTTACAAAAATGATGTACGTTTTGGTGAAACAGGTGCCAAGTACTGTGCCAACTAACCATGTCCTTCTGTCCGTCCGTATGAACGCTAAGATGTCGGAAACTATAAAATCTAAAAATATATCTTCATGCTTAATCCCAAAATTCTAGCTTTTATAGTTTCCGAGATCATAGATCATCGACTCCGCTATCAATCCTGATGAAGAATATAAATATATTTTATAAGGTCGGAAACGCTTCATTCTTCCTCCTACATTAGTTTCGACCACAAAACAATAAATTATTTTTATTGTAATTTATTTATTTAATTATAAATTATAAAAATCTTTAATAAGACTTATTTGTGATTTTTATTCAAAAAACTCAATGATAAGATTCAAATGTGTCAAAAATTAACATTAAAGTCCTTTCGCTGTATCGCTTTCAGTTTCGAAGACATTGCACTACAATTTGTTGTACACCTTCGCCTAACAAGTTATACACCAAAAGAAATTGTACCTAAAATCGGCCTAAAAACTCAACTTGTCGATTTTTTTTTATTTTCTAGGAAGTGACTGAACTACTTAAGATTACTTAATTTATTGTTTATACTAAAGAAGAGGGTTAAGTTGGGAGGTGGAGCACATGTGCAAAATAAGCTTAAAAAAATTATATTTTATTTTATTTTTATAAATAAATTGATTTATTTTGAGTTACTTCATTTATTAAAAAATCGGTTATAATTTTGTTTAATTTATTTTTTAACTATTCAAGCAAAGTTTCGTAGTCGTATTCCCAATATTTCGGATGAAATTGAAAATTCTTTCAACCAAGTTTGTGTCGTCAATAAAAGCCAAAAACTTAACTTTATGATTTCTCTTAGTTTGCTTACACCATTAAGAGAGCTGTGCTAAGCCGATTAAGCGTATGCTCGAATTAAAATTTATTGAAATTCTCTACTAGATGACAAGGATTTTTTAAATAAACGTTTTCAATACCTACATACAATACATGTTCAAATTGTTCTAACCTTCAGGAATCCCAGGATTAATAAAAACGATTTGTAAAAATAGTCCGCACAACAAGTTCTTTACTTTTTAAAGCGATTTTCATTTATAAAAATGCTTTTATATATTTGTATATTAGTTAAATGCATAGTAAACAGTTTTAATCTATAGATGTACATGTTTTTTAATACTTTTTAAAACCCAATATAAATTTAGTCAGTGTTGATAAGGCATAATTGTTTCATTTTGTACTCTTTAAAACCTGTTCCCCAACTCGTTAGAATATAAGTTTAAAGAAACAAAATTGACGATTGGTCAATTTGTGCATTCAAAAGCGTTAAGAGTACGCACCTTATAGAATCAAATTCTCATATTTACAAAAAATATAATTGAATTAAACAGGGAAAAGGATCTCTTCATAGTTTTTACATGGTAATGTAACAAGCTGCGCACACATTTATCAACATTAAAAGAATAAGTATAAAATGTGTTAATTCCACTAAATTCTTGTAAACATAAAAATATGGAAAATAATGTAGGCTTAGCGTTATTTTGAATTAGAAAATAACGCGCGGTAAAGATAGAAACAGGGACCGACAAAATTCATTACTTGTAATTTTTATTTGCTTATGCCAATTTTCTTGATTTTTAGGTAGATTGTGGAAGGTGTATATAGTTGTGTCTTCCTTTTTCTTTCAATTTGGCTAATTTTTTCACTTTGTGTTCAAGATATAAAATAGTGTTATTTCCTACATTTAAAAATCACTGTAGTCTTTTAAAAGAAAGTTTTACAAGTATTGATTGTTTTCGGTCCCTGGGTAAAAATGTTTTAAAAAAATGCAATTGTTTCTTGTTTCGTTGCCACATTAATCATGTGTAAAGTCACTGTGTGAAAATACGTAAACATACATATTTATAAGTAAAATAAACAGTTGCGGTCAGGATAATAGCACAAGTATAATTCTGTGAAATCATCTTATGATTTTGTTTTTACACTGCGAATGCGCGAAACGCTTTAAATACATTGTTCGCATTTTTATATTATATCGTCAAAGCAGTTTACATATTTGTTTTAATTGTTGTATTTTGTCATGTGTGCTAAGACTTGACCGCATCTGTTTGTAATTATTAGAATTGACTTTCTTCAGGCGCAGTATTTTTTGTTGTTCCTATATCGCTTTCACCGTTCGTCTTTTCGTG